TAAAATTAGATAAGAAATCTTTATTTTTACTCGGCTCTTACACCCCACAGCTGGGGGAGAGAAGAAAAGAGAATGTTACTTTCTTAGGAGTAAAGAGGGCGGTACCTTCGTTGTCACGGGCAAAGCTTTTTCAAGTAGAACAGTAGTCAAAACAGCACTCTTTGTAGATAATGCTCAACTAAAAGTTTCTTGGTTTGTGATTTTTCCATCGGTGAGGTTTAGCGAACGGTCGCTCGTATCCTCGCTCCTGGAAAGCGGAGACAGAAATCCTTAGCTTTATGCTTCAGGCCATTCGGTCCGGCTTAAGGCCCCGCCCCGCTTCCCGCCAATAGCCTGCGCGCTACCACAGGCGCGCCCCGCCCCTCAGGCCCGCGCGCCAGGACTTTGGCGCGTTTCAGCAGCCCCGCCCCTCGGGCCCACCCGTCAAGACTTGAGGAAGAAAAGAGAAAGTTACTTTCTTAGGAGTAAAGAGGGCGGTACCTTCGTTGTCACGGGCAAAGCTTTTTCAAGCAGAACAGTAGTCAAAACAGCACTCTTTGTAGATAATGCTCAACTAAAAGTTTCTTGGTTTGTGATTTTTCCATCGGTGAGGTTTAGCGGACGGTCGCTCGTATCCTCGCTCCTGGAAAGCCGAGACAGAAATCCTTAGCTTTATGCTTCAGGCCATTCGGTCCGGCTTAAGGCCCCGCCCCGCTTCCCGCCAATAGCCTGCGCGCTACCACAGGCGCGCCCCGCCCCTCAGGCCCGCGCGCCAGGACTTTGGCGCGTTTCAGCAGCCCCGCCCCTCGGGCCCACCCGTCAAGACTTAGGGAGTTTCAGCCACTCCGCCCCGCCCTTCCCCTTAAGCCCCGCCCACCCGGCCTGCTCGCACGGCCCCGCCCCCCGGGCTTTGGGCGTGTCTCAGCCGCCCCGCCCAGTCCCGCGCGCCCTGCACTCAAGCCGCCGCGACCCCCCAGGAGTCCTTCCGGCTGAGACGCTGGGCTCACTCGGCCGGGGTCGGGCAGCAGACCCGCGGCGTCTCTGTCGCTGCCGTACTCGTTCGGCTTCCCGCGCTCCGAGAAGTCTTTCCCGCGACGGCGGGGCGATGCCGGGGAACCGGCAGCCGAAGATCCGCTCCGGGAACGAGCCTCGTCCCGCGCCTGCCATGGAGCTGGCGGGTCGCGTGGCCTGGGCCAACAGCCGCGCCGCGCTCGACCGCTTGGAGAACCTGCTGCGCTGCTCGCGCTGGTAAAAAAGGAGCTTCGAGGGGGTGATTGCGAGGACAGAGGCCCGGGCTGGAGTCGCCCCAGTCTCGGGCGCGTGGGGATCTTTTCAAACCTCCCGTGACCTCCTTCCACTCCCGCGCGGCAGTCGGGCCGATGTGCAGAGTTAGGACCCGCCTGCCCAGGGTGCGGGTGTGAGTTACCCCCTCCACGCCCCCACGCACAGCAAGCCGTTCCGGGCGGCTGCCCAGCCTCCTATTGCACCAAAGCCAACTAAAACGGTAGTTGTGGAACTTTAGCGGGCTGAAGTAACCGTCCAGAGGTGTGGCTAAATAGTTTGAATCTGTAGGGCTGGGGTGGGGCTAAGGCTTCTGCTCTTCTGGAAGGGCCCCGGTATTTGCGATGAAGGAAATCCCAGAACCTCACTCCCAGGGCCCCCGAGGGCCTCTGTCTGAAGCAGCTGTCACTCTTTGCTGAACTGGCCTTATTGACATTTTCCCCGTAGCAGCTTTTAGGGTTGGGGTGGCATGTTGGGGTCCCCTTGTTAGGGGTAGATTGAAGACTGTATTGTGAAGCACTGCCATTCTATTTCTTAATTCCTTGGTTTGGTCAAAACTCTGTATGGCCTGGGGGGTCCAGCTTTTAGAGCTGCTATTTATTATCATTTTTGCTTGTTTTCCGTCATGCTGTTATAGCAGTGTGGACGTCCTCTGAGCGTTTTCATTCCACCTGAAGACATGTAAAGTCATGCACCGCATAATGACGTTTTGGGTCAAGAACTACCGCCTGTACCACAGGTGGTCCCATAGGGTTACAATGGAGCTGAAAAATTCCTATCGCCTAGTGACAGTTGTAGTCCTTGTAACATCACCACGTTGTAGCGCAGCGCATGACTCAAATAGGAGCAGTAGGCTACATCATACAGCCTTGGTGAGTAATAGGTTCTCCCACCTAGGTTTGTGTAAGTGCACTCTGATGTTCGCACAACCACGAAATCGCCTAACGTTGCGTTTCTCAGAATATATCCCTCTGGTTAAGCAACGCATGACTATTTTCATGAGTGGTGCTCCTTGCTGCTGCTTTTCCTGTAGCTCTGTATGAAAACCATGCAGGTTTATAAAACCCAAGGAGGGTTTATCTCACTTTTCTTCTAAAAGTGTGTATTGATCACCCGCTGTGTGCACAGCTCAGTATTTCTGCATTAAGATCACTCTGGCCGGTTTTCTTTTTGCTTGTAGCTGTCAACGATTATAATTCTATTTTGGACTTTTTTTTTCCCCCTCTGATTTCCAACTTGCAGAGTTTAGTTACTTATACATTGTAAAGATAGACATCAGTAAGTAGGCCCAAACTTCTAATATAGCTCATCCAATTGGTGGGAGAATGATATTGAACGCCAGTGATTTTTTTTTTTTTTTAAATCTTAGCTATTTCTTAGAATGCATATTTTCACATAGAGCTCTGCAAAGTTTTTTCTGTAAAGGGTCAGATGATAAATATTTTAGGCTTCACTGGCTACAAATAGTTTCCTGTTCTTGTTATTTGTTACTTTTTTTACATCCCTTAAAAACGTGAAAACAGTTTGCAGAACCGTTTTAAGAGGTAAAATGTTTAAAAATCCTTTTTGGTGTAAAATTTTATATCACATGGGGTTTAATATTTAGAAATGATGTTCCTTGCCTCTCTTGTTATCCATGCATGTTTGGCACTACCTACTGAATAAAGCATGGCCAGTTGCACCTTACCCAAGGGGGAAAACATTCTTTGTACCTCTGCCTTTACCCTTATAGCTGCTGATATCATCGCTGGAAAGGAGCGACTCAGGATGGTCTGCTTCTTGCTTTTGCTACCCACTGTTCAAAGCAGTGTTACATTATTTGAAATTGTGTCAGGATGTTCTTTTACAGAGTTTCAGAGTTCTACCAGTGGGCTAGTTATTACCCCGATTACCCTCACATTCAGCTTGCAGCTGTCATCTATCTCATGTTCCCAGCTGTCATCTGTCTTGTGTAGCACATTGGATCTGTTTTGCAGCAAGCATTACTTTCTGGTGTGGTGGATTGGCTACATAACACAGCATCGTTTCTTGACCTTTAACAAAAGTATGGCTTCAAGGTGAAGCTGATGTTCCAGGAGCCACATGCGACATTTGTGTTAGGGCCAAGCCTCACAACCAGACAGAAGCTATTTAAAGTTTGGAAAAATGAGACAGGAAGACCGTATCATTTGAGAGGTTGGCAGAAAGCACAATAATAATGTGTTCCTAAAGGAAGCAGGAAATGATAATAGGAGCTGTGGTGTACAAGCCCCAGGTGTCATATGACTCTTGTTTTGTGAGTTAAAATAATTAGGTACCTCTTGGCGTATTTTGGGGGGTGGGGATTTGGCATCTATGATGATTATAACTTAAGTCTTCTTTAATCAGCTTTTAGTAAGAAGTTAAATAGTAATCTTGTAACTTTTAGGGTAGGTAGTTTTTATTTTTTTCTGAATTATCTCTTGTCATTTAAAAAGCATTCAAGATTAATTTTGTATTTCCTTGTATTTTGAGGCAGCATAGCTTAGTAGTTAAGGGCATTGGTTCTCGAGTCAGACTCCCTAGCTTCAAATGCTGGCTCAGTGATTTTGGGCAAACTATTTCATCTTTGTATGCTTCCTTTTTTCATATGCAAAATGAGTTAGTTTCTCCCTTACAAGGTTGTTATGTGGATTAAGTGAGTTGATAATTATAAGATACTTAGAGCAGTGCCTGTTATGTACTAAGTACTATATAAATATTTGTAAAATAAAAGGTAGCTTTCTTGACCCCAGCATTTAGCTTTTGCCTTTTTTTCAGGAGTTTTGAATGTTTGAGGCATTCTTACAGGCCAGTGATCTTTAAGTGGTTTGATTGCTCCCTTGGGTTTGCTCTGGCCCTAGATAGTCATTAGAACAACAAGAAATCTCTGAGGCACTGCATTAGCGGTGATATAATGATGTGTTTTCTCCCTTTAAGGTGTGAATGCTTAATTATAAGGGATAAAATGTACATACAGTTTAGGGTAAATTATAATGAAGGCTAAGGGGATGGATAGAAGAGTACTTGGGTGGGGCCAGTGGAGGAGAGCCTTTTGGACTTTTGAATTGGGCCTCAAGGTATGGATAGATTTTTATTAATGGAGCCAGGTATGGGATTATTTGCACATAACACTATGCTAAAAAGAATTATAGAATAAAGAAGAGGGTCAGGTTGGCAAGGAGTTGAGACAGGGTTAATCACAGAGTGATTAGTAGCCTAACAATAAAATATTCAATTGGTTCACATAGTTATGTTCCCAGGGAGAGGAATTCCTGTAGCTTTCCTGGAACTCCAGTGCCCTCGTCTATAAAATGAGGAAATGTACTAGTTGATTTTTTTAAGGCTTCCTCCAGTTTGCAGATTCTATAATTATTAGTGTCCATTGGATGTAAAATATTGCTTAAAATTTTTTTATTGAAGTTAAAGTACACACAGAAAAGGGCACGGATCATTGGTGTTTAGCTTGCACCATATCCTCCAAATTAGAATGTATTTATTTGTGGGATTTATTTATTTACATAGTATTTTGATTGGTTGACTAATGTCTGTCTCCTTCAGTTATACTACTCATTTCATAAAGACAGGTTCACATTCGTAGCCATAGTGTCAGACATAGTTTTCTTAGTGTTTGTTAAATTAACGTATGAAAGAATTTAGGTTAAGGTAGGATCACATTTAACGGGCCTTTGCAAGTGGTAATACCAGATGGATCTAGTTAATTGACCTAAATTGCCAAGAATCCTCCATAGGTTCTGGGGTTAATTACCTACAGTAAGCAGCGACTAAGGCCTCAGGGCAGATGTAGAAGGTATAGGTCTTTTCCTCTGGGATTTAGAGCTAGAACCATGAAATGCACCATCCCATTACAGGCATACAAATAGCTGGCGTCTTATAGGGCTTGTGACTGCTAGAGAGAGTTACCAGACACAGTGAGTACCCTTTACACTGTCCTCCATAACATCAGGGATGGCCTTATAAATGAAGTTATTGGTATATAGGTCTGGGCTCAGAGGAGAGATTTTAGTATGGGAGTGGAAATTTTAGAGTCATCTACATAAGAATGGTGATTGAAGGTGGTGGAGTTTTGGAAGTGGGTAGGGAAGAGAGTATAAAGAGGCATGCCTAGGTTTGAGTCTTTAAATGCAACATTTGAATGTCAGGTGGAAGAGGTGAAGAGCTTTGAAGGACAGAGGAAGATCCCTAGTTACGTAGATATTGTTTTGCTTTGGAGGAAAGGGAATAGAAGACAGGATAACCAACATTATTTGAATCAGGTGTACACGATATCCTCTGTGGCTTATCTGTCTCTGGTAGTAGATTCTATCACTATTAGTCACTAATAGAGTTCTATTGCCTGTTTGACTTTGGGAATATTTGACTCATTCATTTAACATTTGTTGACACTAAACAATCAAGATGTGATTTTTTATTTTTCCCTTGTGATTTACTTGAATATGAAATAATTGTACAAAATAAGATGCTTCCACACCATTATCCGTATACCTTACTTGTTAAAGACTTCGTTTATTCTCCTAAAGATCAACACAACATTGTTTAATTGTCTTGGAGAGCTTGTGCATTACAAAATAAGATGCTTCCACACCATTATCCGTATACCTTACTTGTTAAAGTCTTCGTTTATTCTCCTAAAGATCAACACAACATTGTTTAATTGTCTTGGAGAGCTTGTGCATTTTGATGTTAAATGCATTGGTCCAACACTTAAAATACTTTGAGGATTCTCTAAAATGTAAGAGTACTATGGTAACTGTTCTTGCCTAGTATTAAATAGCAGTTGATATCTCATGGAAGCTTGGGGAGCCATTCAGTTAAGAGGTAGATATATACCTCAGTATTGTAATCTCAATTGTGTTTACTTTCTTTTTTTGTTTTTGCAAAGAAAATTTTGTATCAATTGGATCTTTTTTTAATTGTTTATTCTCACTATCTAATTCTTCTCCAAGTTATAATCCTTTGACTCCACCAGTCTTCCCAAATCAAGTACATGTGAAGTTACAGAAATATGACTGCAGATAGAAAGTAGAGTAGCTGAATTTTCAAGGTACAGAAGTCCTGTTACCATACAAATGGCTTTTCTTATTCATCTGAATTTTTTTCTTTCTAATAATACATATATAGACAGAAAATAGGGTACAGATAAAATAGAATTGTTGATACAAATGTGTTTTTGTGTGTAGTCTTTGGTTCATTCGCTAAAGATTTTTAAAAATTCTATTATTCATACAGTTTCATGGTAGGTAGGTAATGGTACGTTGGGAAGCTCAGACAAAATGAAAGTCAAGATCTCTTGTTTATAGGGCTGTAATCTATTTGGAGGCAAGAAAAATAGAGCATCAGGCAGTTAAAATACAAAATATTTATTTTTCGGCAATGAATTCCAGAACCCCAACTAGATGCCATCTTTCTTCTCTGGAACTTTAGAGGGTTTTGTACCTCTCTTAAGTGAAATATTAATTTGGCTTGTGTAACTACCTAGCTAGATTATAAGCACCTTAGATAAGAGTGTAACATAGTCACATCAGCTTTGTTTTCTTTACATGTCTGGTGCATGGCATGGATTTTGGATAAGTGATGGCATGGAGACTAAAATTCAAGTTATCCCCATGCTTATTCGTTTATTGTCATTTTTATTATACCATCTCAAACAATATTTGGGTAATGTGTTGGGCTTGTATAGTTGGGAGGAGGAAATGTGTTGGGCTTGTATAGTTGGGAGGAAGAAGTGTATTCACTCTGGGGAGAACAGTTTGAGCAAAGACATGGAGTTGGAATTGGACGTAAGATCTTTGAGAATTTTTATAGATACTGGCCTGCCCAGAGCAGAGTTTTCTTGAGGAGCAATGAGAGAAAAGGTTGCATGGCTTGGGTGTTACCGGATTGTGATGAACTTTTTAATACTAATTTTTTTTAAAAAAATACATGCATATGTGAAAGAATTAAAATAACAGTATATGGTCATTACATATTTGTTAAATGAATGACAGATAAGTCTGAATCCTTCTCTGCAATTATCACAATTAATCAGTTTCTTGTGTATCCTTTATAAGAGGTTTTTATATAACTATTACATACCGCAGATGAGAGGATACTATACAGCAGGTACATATGTCGTGATTTATTTAACCATTTCCTTGGTGGTAAAAATTTAGGTTGTTTCCAGTTTTTTGCTCTAACAAGCAGTGCTGTGGTGAATATCCTTGTCATGTTCCTTTACGTGTAAAATTTTTTTGAGTTAAAACTATATGTGATCATAGTTGACAAAGTCAGTAGGGCGAAGACTATAATGGAAATATTCTTGCCTCATCCTTCACTACCCATGGGTTCTGTACCTCAAACACAACCTCTTTTTTTTTTTTTTTAGTTTTTCAAGCATTTACCTCTACATCTCTAAATAATATTTTATATTGCTTTTTATGGTTTTTCAATTTTTTTCATTTTAGACATTATTAACTTCTTTACTTCCTACTCTCAAAGATGAGTTTTCTTATTACCTATTACGTCTTAATTTTGTACTGTTGAAGATGATTAGATACAGAATTCGAAGTACAATTTTTTTTTTAAAGATGACCGGTAAGGGGATCTTAACCCTTGACTTGGTGTTGTCAGCACCACGCTCTCCTCTCTGACCACTCTGTGAAATAACATTGACTTTGCCTTTTTTCTGGAACTCTCTGACCACTCTGTGAAATAACATTGACTTTGCCTTTTTTCTGGAACTCTCTGACCACTCTGTGAAATAACATTGACTTTGCCTTTTTTCTGGAACTCTCTGACCACTCTGTGAAATAACATTGACTTTGCCTTTTTTCTGGAACTCTCTGACCACTCTGTGAAATAACATTGACTTTGCCTTTTTTCTGGAACTCTCTGACCACTCTGTGAAATAACATTGACTTTGCCTTTTTTCTGGAACTCTCTGACCACTCTGTGAAATAACATTGACTTTGCCTTTTTTCTGGAACTCTCTGACCACTCTGTGAAATAACATTGACTTTGCCTTTTTTCTGGAAATGATTACGTCTTACTGCTAGAGTGAAGGGTAAGAACTATGGAGAAAGGGTTCAGAGTAATCTAAGGAAGGAAATTTAAAGTTTAGAAGCAGAATCAAGGTATGAGTCCAGTATTGCCAGAGAAAGTCAGAAGGCTGTGGTCTGCATAGTGGGGGGGGTATGCCTCCATGGAGAGATTGGAAAAGCAGCAGTTAAAGAAATGCTGAAATAGCCCATGAGTCCAGTATTGCCAGAGAAAGTCAGAAGGCTGTGGTCTGCATAGTGGGGGGGTATGCCTCCATGGAGAGATTGGAAAAGCAGCAGTTAAAGAAATGCTGAAATAGCCAGATAAATGTGCTGTAAGATAATTAAAACTTAGTAGAAGGAAGGATTTCCAGAAAAAAGGCAAAGTCAATGTTATTTCACAGAGTGGTCAGAGAGAATGAAGACCAAAAATGCTTTGGAGAGCAGTTTCAGTGGAGTGGAGGGAGTAAAAGCCCTGGGGATAAGGAGATGAGTTAGCTGCTATAGAGTACTTTTTCAAGAACTTTTATGTGTTCAAGAAAGGGAAGAGCTAGGGTACAAGGAAGCGGCAGGATGAAAAGAAAGTTGAAGGAGACAGTACCTGTGCATGTTTAGATCCAAGTAGAAGAAAGGCAACTACAGCGATGAGAATCAAGGACTACAGGAGACAGGGAAGCTATGGGAGCTAAGGCAGAAGAGCAGCATGTCTTAAGAGGGAAGAATGGCTGAAGAAAATCTTTCCCCTGGGACTGGATGGAGGGGTAAGATTACTGGTGAGGATGTGGGACTGTGTTTAGGTTGTGAAAAGCTCACACCCTTTAGCTCCATAAAGGTTAATGAGGTTTAGGAACATGGAGATCATTTTGAATGGTCATCTATTCATTTATTTGTTTACTCGTGGAACATGTAATACATCACTTTGGTTGAGATACAGAAATGAAGAAGCTACCAAACAAATTAGGGTATGGCACAGAAGGCACTGAAGTAGCTAACTCTGTGGCCTGGGCAGAATAGGGATCCCAGAGAGCTACAGGACTGAATGGAGTTCCCTCAAGGTGGAGAGCAACCTGAAGGTGGAGGTTTGGCCAGGATGATGCAATAAATGATAGAGGAAGGATTTTGTGATGGGAGGTGTGATAACACCACTTTTGAGATCTTAGAGGCAGAGCTTACAGGGAAGCAGAGTTCAGCACACGTGATTGGGAAGAGGAGGTTAGGCTTGGTAGGTCAAATAATGAACAAAAATTATAGGAACAGCATGAACATTGTAAAAGAGATCATCGTAATTGCCAAAATCGCAAAAGTCATATTTTTATCAGTCTATTGTACATAGTGTGATAGAAAAATTAGATATTGTGAGTTTTTAAAAGTAATGGGTTTTGTAATGTCAGTGAGCACCGTTTTCAGTATCTTGAGAAAAACATGATGGGTGTACATTCTGTTTATAACACTCTTTCTGAAAGCTCAATTTCACTTTGGTGTTCATATCTATTAAAATGTGCAGTGTGATACTTTTGATCTTTCAAGAAATGTGGAGAATGTTTTTATTGATAGGTGGCATGTGCACAGAGGTAATTGGATAACAATGGTGTAAATACGTAAAGGTCCTAGGGTCAGTGTAATAAATCACGCACAAAAAATGTTCATCCTTTAAAGCCTTACTTTTCTGGTTTGCTCTTGCTACATTAGCCCCACTGTAATGACTTTGTGTGTGTTTTTTAGTAATTATCATTACCTTCTTAATACTGTCAAATGTAGATTAAATACTGATGGACAACATTGGGAATATTTTTGTCTCTTTTTCTCTTTCCTCAATGCAGTGAATCTCATTCAGTCTGCAGACTGCCAACCTGATGATGTCTGTTTGCACTTGCTGAAAGAGCAAAACAGTCAACTTCCTGTGAACTGAAAGAATGGCTGTATTTTTGACAGGACATCTGTGAAAAATAGATGGTTACTTAACAATAGCAAGAAACACACGTTTTCGTAGGGGAAACCATTGATTTTTATGGTTAAGGCGACCAGGTATCCTGGTTTGCTTGCGCAGTTCTGGTTCATACCTGTTGTCGCAGCGTCCTATCTAGTTACCGCCCTCCACTGTCAGAAATGTTCTCACTTGTACAATCCATTATATAGTTTACTTGTGGGTCTCATTTTGAGATTTATGGTCTACCCTTTGAAACATTATGTGAAAGTGTACCCTAGTTGAAAGAAGCAGACATTGGTTGGTTTTGCCTCTAAGAGGTTTAGAGGTGCTTGAACAAAGTTGTTCCTTACTCCGACTTCCCAACAAATACGTTACAAAAAGCATTATAACTTGTATTGGGTTTGGTAGTTGCTGTTTGAATTCAGCAGATGTGTGATGATGCAGTATTTAACCAGAGAGTAACAGCCTTCCAAATGAATGTATTCTTAATATCTCCTGCTTTGAGAAAGAGAAAAACATGGTAGTGTTGGGTCTTAAACTTATGGAATATTGAGCAAGAAATGTTTATCTAACAATAACCTAAGTCTTGATTTCATTTTCCTTTATTCAAACAGCACTAATATTCTGAGGGAGCCTGTGTGCTTAGGAGGTTGTGAACATATCTTCTGTAGGTAAGTAATTATGGCTTGATGTGTATAGCATAGCTATATTTTTACTAGCTAACAACCATGGAATGATTTCAGTAATAATAGTACTCCATGTTTGTGTAACTTTCATAGTCCACAAAGTAACTTACTATACATTATCTCATTTTGATCCTTATAACTGTCTTAGTTTACAAATAAGAAAATAAAAGCTAAAAGAAGAGTACTTGACCATAGTTACAGAGCTCAGTAAATAGCTTTGTTAACCTTGGGAGAAAAAATTAATGTCTTTTATATAATTTAAATGTGTATTTTTTAATCTTCCAATTAAGTTTTGAATCTAGACTTTCAAAATTATGAAAGTCTAGTTCTTACAGTTACTGTATTACTTTCTTAGGGCTGCCATAACAAAGTACCCAAAACTGGGTGGCTTAGAACAAATTTATTGTCTCATAGTCCTGCAGGCTAGAAGTCTGAGATTAAGGTGTTGGCAGCTCTTCTGAGGGCCGTGAGAGAGAATCTGTTCCATGACTCTCTTCTAGCATTTGGTGGGTATGTTAGCCCATTTGTGTTATAACTGAAATACCTGAAACTGGGTAATGTATAAAGAACAAAGGTTTATTTGGCTTACGATTCTGGGACAGCTGCATCTGGCATGGGCCTCAGGCTGCTTCTAATCATGGCAGAAAGTGGCAGGCAGGTAGCGGGTACAAACAGATCACATGGCGAGAGGGAGCAAGAGAGAGAGAGAGGGGCGAGGTGCCAGGGTCCTATAAACAACCAGCTCTTGAGGGAACTAGTAGAGCGAGAACTCATTCATTACTCTGCCCACCTAGGGAGAGCACTAATCCATTCATGAGGGATCTACCCCCATGACTCAGTCAGTTTCCAGCACTGCCACATTGGGAATCAAATTTCCACATGAGTTTGGGAGGGGACCAAAACATCCAAACTCCATCAGAGGGTTTCTGGCAATCCTTGCCTTTCCTTGGCTTGTAGATACATCATTCTGATGATTACCGCCATGTTCACACAGCATTCTCCCTTGTGTACATTTTTGTCTCTGTGTCCAAATTTCCCTTTTTTATACGAATACCAGTTATATTGGATTAGGGCTTACCCTAATGATCTCATCTTAACTTGATCATCTACAGAGGCCTTATTAACAAGTTAGGTCGCGTTCATGGGTACTGGGGGGTTAAGATTTCAACATCTTCTCGGGGAACACAATAGCCTGTAACAGTTGTCATGAAATTATGTCCATGTTATAGTGTGAAAGCTCTGGTTTATAGGTTAGGTGATTAGATTTTCATCTCATCCTATTTCTTGTTCAGAGAAATCAATTGAGGTGCCGTTTTAGTTTAATCGTCTATGAGACAGGATTAATATAACCTCCTTTGAATTAAGTTTTTAATTAAGTTATAAGTATATGACTATCTGGTATGAACTGATTGCATTCTGAAGTTTGAGCATATATGAAAATAAGTGGGCTAAGGATGTGTGGGGGCAGCTATGCTTGGGGGTCCCAATTTTATTTCTAGAAACACAGATGGGGCATATCCACTAGGAGGATGGGATAGGAAATGGTACCTATTGCTTATCTGATAGCTCTGTTTGGATGTCAGAAAGGCATTTCAAACTTGATACATTCAGAACAGATCTCTTGATCATCCTTGACGTCAACCTGTTCCTGCCTGTGTAATCTTCATTGCAATCAGTGGTACCACTGACTACAAAGTTGTATAAGGAAAAAAACCACATGTCATACCTGATTGTTATTTTTCTTCCTTATGCTGACATGATTAAGTTCCGTTGGTTCCACCTCAAAAGTGTCCTGAATCATGAATTTTCCCACTTTTTTCTATATCTGCTACTGTTTACATTTCAGTCCAAGCTACCGTCATATTCTGTCTCTTCAGACTATTGTGATCGGTTCCTAACTGGTCTCTTCTTTCTGGCATCATCAGTGCTTCCCCATTTTCTACATTCTTGTCAGTGATCTTTTAAAAATGTAAATTATGTCCATGTCATTGCCCTGCTTAAAATCCTGTAGTAGCTTCCTATTGGAATTAGAATAAAATCTAACCTCTGCACTCAGGTCTACAGACACTGACAAGACCTAGATCCTGCCTGCCTCTTGGACCTCCCTTCCTGCTGGCTCACACTGTTCCAGCTGCCTTCTCCATTTAGTCTATTAAACGCACCAAACTTTCTTCTGCCCAGGATTTTTGCACTTGCTATTTCTTCCTTGTGGAATGTACTTCTGCCAGATTTTAGTGAGGCTCACTTTTCATCAGTTAAATTTCAGCTCAAATGTCACTGCCTCCAAACTTCCATGAGCATACTCCCTCTCTCCACTCTGTAGCAAGCAGATTTATTTTGTTTTAGCTGATTCTTGGGGAGTTTGCTCATTGTATACAATAGGTCATTGAGAGAGCTGCTAGAGCATAAGGGACTTGATTAAATTGTATACAAAATGTGTGTGTGGGGGGAGATTCATACATTTAATCAGATTCTAAAGGGCTCTATGACTTAAAACAGCCAATAAAGATTAAGAGAGGTGTGAGAACATCTTGAGAGAAAATGATCATGTGTATATGACATGAGCATAGGGAAGAATCCATTCAGTGTAGTTTTGATTCATCTTAATTATGAAGCCAAGAGTTAAGGCAGCTGTTCATAATCTTTGCAGATTTCCAGTTACATAAAACTGTTAAGCAGTGAGGTTTTAAAAGATGATACCACATAGCCTAGGTATTTGGTAGGCTAAATCATGTAAGTTTATGTATTGCATTCTATAATTGCACAAGGAGGAAATCGGCTAACGATGGATTTCTCAGAAGGAATTTATCCCCATCGTTAAGCGACACATTACTGTAATTCATTTAAGATGTGTGGCGGGGTATTCAAACTCTTTGGTCTCAGACTACTTTAAAAATTTTTCAGTATTGAAAACCATAAAGAGCTTTTGTATATATATGCATGTGTGTGTGTGTTTACCATATAAAACTGAGACTTTAAAAAAATATTAATTCATTTGAAAATAAAGAACCCATTATGTACTAACATAAATAACAATTTTTGGGGGGGAAAAATAACTATTTTACAAACCAGAGAAAAAATAGAAGAGTTGCACTATTTTATGATGGGCCTTCAAAAAGTTCATGGAAAAATTCGTATTATCTTTTAATTCCATTTTTCTGCAAACTTCGTGGAGCACCACTGTACATTTTTGCAAATCTTTGTAATGTCTTGCTGAATAGCAGACAGCTGGATTTTCATATCTGCTTATGTATTCAATGTTGCTTTTATTAAAGTATGCAAAGAAAATCTGGCCTTACCCATATTTGTAGTTGGTAAAAGGAGTATTTTAATAGCCTTTCTAGATAATTGTGGATATTCTTCTATGATATTACAGCAAAACTTGACAATTGCTAATTTCTTTAGGTTCATCCCAGTGTAATCTGGAACTATATCAATGAATTTTTGTACTCTGTAACTCTGTACATTGGTTTATCCAGTACTTTGAATTGATCTTTTACCCAGCATGATTTAATGACATAATGCATCGGTCATTTGAGAAGTATTGGCTCACTGAGTTATGCAGAGCTGTTGAGAAATGACATATTTCTCCAGAATTCTGGATTAATGTATATAAAATAGTTTGGGAATACTAGTTATAAAACAAATGTTATAGAATATATAAAATAGGCTGATCTGAGTACTAGTGCAGTGCTGGGTAAGTAATTTAATTAAATGGATCTCATTTTTTTTATCTGACAATGAGGTGATGGTTCTTGATGAATGGTTTTCAGATTACATTTTACTGGTATTCCTCAAATAATTAAGTATTATTCAAAAATTGATGATTTAAATTGCCTGAGTAATTAGTTTACCTATTTTTTTTGTTTTGGGGTTCCAAGTTAGATTTCTAAGCTTTAAGAAAACAAACACACAAGTTTCTTTGCTTAAAAAAATTGGACATTTGTTGAACTTGTGACATTTATTGAATTTGATGATCTCAGGTATCTTTCCTAGCTCCAGTATGGATTACAGATTAATTTTACAACCTTTTTTGAGTTACTTTTTGTCAGGAATCATTGCTAGAAGTCAAGGATACAAAAATTTTGTATACACAGGTTTTGTTTGAGGATAGTTTATACTGTAAGAATTTTCTGTGCCTACAAATGAGAGGGTCACATGACAAAAAATGTAGTGCTTGCGGGAGATGTGGCTTTTACAACTGTTATTACCCAGTCCTGTTAGAACCGATATGGTGAGACTAAGGAAGGAGGAAATTTATAGGATTTTTATTCTGGAATTCACACATAAGCTTTAGGAGAGGAGGGTTGTGAATGCCCTTTTTATACAGGAGTGTGGATATATCTTTATCAGATTTGCAAAGGTCTGTGACCCCAAAAGTTAAAAGGAACCTTGACCGTTGTATGTTAGCACAACCTCTGCTTCATTTACTTCTGTTCAAACTGTTTATTATTTATTTTTTCGAATTCAGTTCTGCTGAATGGGTTTTTGTTGTTATTTTAATTCTTTTTAAGTGATTGTGTAAGTGACTGCATTGGAAGTGGATGTCCTGTGTGTTATACCCCAGCGTGGATACAAGATGTGAAGATAAATAGACAGTTGGACAGCATGATCCAAATTTGCAGTAAGCTTCGAAATTTACTACGTGACAATAAGCCTTCAGGTGAGAAATATTGTCTTTCATAGTTATATAACCAATGAATTCATATTGATTACATAAAGTATATAAAGGATCTGTCAGAAATTCTGAATGACATATTTCAGATTTTAAGATCTATAAAGATAATTAAGTCTAACTCCCTTATTTTACAGATGAGAAACCAAGGTCCAGAGAGATTGAATGATCTTGCATATAGTCACACATGTGCTTAGTACTAGAGCAGGAGAAATAGAACCCATTTCTTCTGATTATCAGTCCGGAGACTTTCACTACTTTATACTGCCTGCATTTTACAGTTATGATAATTTCTGTAGAATACATATGGAATAGTGATTTTGTCCTTAATAGTGCTTAAATCACTTAAATACACTTTTGCAAGATAGAATACAACATTCTTCTATGGATCACTTTTCTAGACTGAATTAATTAGATGAGCACATATTGAAAGAGCAAAAATCTAGTATTCATTTTCTTTTCTATTTAAATGGGGGATAATGTTTTTTAAATTGTTCTTGGATTTTGTGTATTATCTATATGTCTTCCCATTGTGCTTTCTACTGAGAATTAATTAGCTGTGGAAAGAAAGTAAACTGTTTTGAATCTTCATAATTGAATATTGGAATTATCTTTTTATTGACCAGATCATGTCATTTTAGTATGTGTTTGTAGCAGAACCTTTTCTTGACTGGCAGGATACCATGAATGATTGCTGATGCTCATATAAAATTGTTGGATTTCTCGTTTTAAATCTTTTGTTCTTAGAATCCTGACATGATGTGTTGCTGTCAGCTTCTAAAAATGAAGTTGAGGGGCCGGCCCGGTGGCGCACTGTGCTAGTGCGCAGCTTGGGAAGCGCGGAGGCGCTCCCGCCAAGGGTTCGGATCCCACATACAGACCAGTTCCCGCTCACTGGCTGAGCGAGGCGCGGGGGCAACACCAAGGTTTGCGATCCCGTTGCCGGTCCCGGTCCGGTATGGGGGCGACACTGAGGGTTGCGATCCGTTGCCTGACACAGAAAAAGACAAAAAAGGAAAAAAAAAAATGAAGTTGATGGGACAAAATAAAGTCAAATACTTTGAATCTTATTGACCAGAGCTTCATATTTTTAAGAACAAGAATTTAAATCATAGTCTACGTATTAAAAGTTTATTTCGCTAGTTACCTGGTTCATTGTATTAGACTCCATTCTTTTATGATAAAATTTACTATAGTGGTAAAGTTTTACTTATTTTCAAATGTAATTATACATACACTTTTTTTTAACATACTTACCTTTTAAAAAAAAAATGTGTTTGTAAAACTCTTTAAGAACACAATGAGGAAGACTTTTATCATTAGTTCATTTGAACTCTTTTCCTTCTTATTCAAATACAGTGCTGATAGTGTTTATTTTCTAGTTGAAAAGATTGGTGTGTGATGCTGTGGATTAAGGCAAGGGTACGTAATCAAAGGTCTGTGAAATTTTGACAGAGTTGGGGGCTGGGAAGGATCAGTGAGCCTCTTGAGTTAAGTGTATATTATGAAAAATGTTCATGTCTTTGTGAACGTGGCTTTCATTAGATTCTTAAATGTCTGTGGTCTGTTAGGATTATTGGCCATGCATTGGAATTTGGGGTGCAATTTTGAGGTTTGTGGCTGTCATGATGTTTTGATTTGAGTCTTCTACAATTGCTGTATAGTAATGTATTTGTTTGCTAGATCTGCTATAACAAAGTACCTACCACAAACTGGGTGGCTTAAACAACAAATCTATGGTCTCACAGTTTTGAAGGCTAGAAGTCTGAGATCAAGGTGCATGCAAGGTTGATTCCCCCTGAGGTCTGTGAGGGGAGAATCTGTTCCAGGCCTGTCTCCTTGGCTTGTAGATGGCTGTCTTCATGCTCACATGGTGTTCTCCTTAGATATGTGTTTGTGTCAAATTTTCCCTTTTTATAAGGACACCAGTCATATTGTATTAGGGGCCCACCCCACTCCAGGATAGCCTCATTTTAAACTAACTAATTACACCTCCAATGACCGTTTCCAAATAAGGTCACATTCTGGGGTACTGGGGTTTAGGACTTCAATATATGAATGGGGGAGGGGGACCCACAATTAAACCATAATGAGTAATGTGACATTTTGAAAGGTTTAAAATGGGAGCAGAGTAACCCCGATGGGTTGACTGCTGTCAGTTGTGGCATACTGGAGTACCAGTTACCATGGAGTACAAAGAAAAATAAGTTAGACTTCTCTTTAGAAATTTTACTATATAGTTAGTAATGCTAATCATTAGTGTAATTTTCATATTTTGTGGACCATGGTATATGAAATGCCTTAATATTTCATCATTAAAGAAGATAGGAAAACTGAATTTAGAACATGTTTCTGGGGGAGACCTAAGGCCTTTTAGAATGCTGTTTTTATCATGTAGGTCGAGGTGGAGTTTAGAAAGAGAATTGTGATGATTCATTTTCTGAAGGACATTTTGCATTCGTTTTCCTTATAATGAGTAATAATTACTTTAGTCCTTAGCAGACTTTAGCAATGCTGCCTTCAGCATTACTTATTTTAAATAAATTGAAATTTCACTGTTTAGATAACATATAATCAGAATTTTAGGATCTCAAAGGTCTTTAATCACCTTATGCTGTAGGTGAAGAAATTAAGGACAGGTTGGTCATGTTGTAAGTTTCTTGCTTATCGTTTCTCCATTTAGCACAATGTTTTCATTAGAAGTGTAGGTATTCATTATGTTTGTTGGATTGAGTTGGATAAAAATTGGCAGTGGTAAGGCTAATTCATATCCTAGAGACTAAATTTAATTAAGATCGACTTCCGATCAGGATGGCTTAATAGACGGTACCCAGCATCGCCCTCTCCCACAATCAACCAATTTACAGCTATTAAAAAGCAATGACTGCCAAGCTGGGGCCATTAGAGCTCAGGGAAACAGGAGGAGAGACCTGTGGAGTTCATGAAGACAGGAAGAGCCACGATGAGAGAAAGAAAGGACTGCTTCAACCATTTCAAGCCCCAGCCACTTCAAGGCTGGCCCTGGTGAGCACAGGGAGTAAGAGCTGGCAGAAGCCCCGGCTGTGCCCTTTGGATGAAGTTGCTTGGAGGCAAAAGGGGAGAACAGGGCCTTGGTGGCCTCCAGCCTGGCAAGACCACTAACAGGGTTCCCATGAACCCACGTAGGAGTTCTCTCACCCTATCTTCCTTCCCCTTCTCCTCTCCCCCCTCCCCTACAACTGCTCCACCACAACATTAGAATGTAAAAATATAATAATAAATTTTAAAAATATGTTTAATTAAAATAATATTAAAACAAATTCTTAGATTGTTTTAAATAATTCATTTTATAGTGGTAAACATTCTCCTTTGCTACCTTGATAGAAAATGACAATAAATCTAGAGTATAAACATATTGAAATAATAAATTTGTATCTAGATCTGTGATTTCAGTGGTGCACAGATTTTTCTACTTTAATGTAAGTTGCGTTCTCAACCAACTTTTCTCCCCAAAGTCTTCACAAAACGAATTAGCCTTGAAGGGCATTTGAAATTTTTTTCTGGAGTATTTCCTTTTGTTTCTGTATAGTTTATTCAGTATATTTTATGTAGTACTTTTGCGTTAGTTTATCATCTAGTAAGTACTAAAACTTAAGTTGTATATGGTAAACTATATAATGGGTAGAGGGAACCAATTGTTGGGGACAAATGATTGTTGATCCTCTTTATAATGAGGAGATTGGAAAATGATCTCATTATAAGATCAGGGTATTAGATTAAATGATCCTTAAGGTCTAGCTCTGAAGTTTTATGAGTCTGTTAGATGGTCAGGTGTTGAAGATGACGAATTACGTGCAATGGCTGAACATCTCCCACATTTTTTCTATCTTTTGAAAAACTCTGTAGTGCACAATTTATCTTCCAGATGAACTTTGTTAGTTGCAATTACTATAAAATATTTAATTACTGTAATTAAGATGGGTAATTAGGAAGAACTTGTCAAATCATGGACATAGTATATGGTATACTGGAGATAAAGAAGGCTGATTTATAGCAATACTTTCTAAAATGAGCTTCTAAACATTTGAACATACTTGAACAGATTTTTCTCAGTTCGGTGTCCTTAAAGAGAAGAAATTGTTTGCCAGGTTTTTCTGACAACTATTTATGGATAAATTTACCTTATTCTTTATAACATAGTCTGCTTTCTACTAATGGAATTAAACTTAAAAGTTTTTATTTTTTCTTGAATCCCATCATATTAAATTAGACCTTGCAGGTGCTGGTCAGGTTCTGTGAAACACGTTGGTGTTGGTGACATTAAAAAAAAATACTTTGATTATGCTTTCATAAGATAACGATTTCCCTTTCTGTTTTTCTGATTTAGAGAGATGCCAGTTTTTCTGTACTGATTACATAGTGTTTTATATATGCTGTGACTTTTTTATAATAGATGAAGATGGGTGGTTTAATAGCTGTGTTGCTGTTGTTTTTTAAAATAGAACTAAATACTTCTTAACTTACCAAATAGTCATTCTTCAGTAAAGCGTTAATGTTGCACAGATGGTAGCAAAGTACTTTCCTTTGATTTTTAATAAGAGACTAGTTTGTCAAAGAGATTTCTCAACTTCTGTTGTGAAACCTATAATAGAGAATAATTTGAAAGGCACACAATGTACATCATTATAATCCTTTGATGTAGATTAACGATAGCTAAATCACATTTTCTAATTGCCTCTCTTTTCTATAGTTTGTTATTAAGTTTTAAGAAAAAACTTGGCTAAGCAGCTCCTTAGTAGCATGTGCATCTCTGTTCCTCGATATTTTGTGTTGTACTCTGAAATACTTAAATTCAGAGAATATTCTTCTAAATGTCATCATTGAGAAATTTACTGTGTAGAGGAAGGACCAATATTTTTCTTCATGAAGTGAATACGATAATTTATCATGCTTAGAAGCATTCACCTATAAAAACTGTTGTAGCTGTTAATAGTATGATTTATGTGCTG